GGAGTGGGAAGGTGGGGTGAAGCTGGGTGTGATATGGGTGGGTGCAGAGGCGAGCCACTGGGTTTGTGAGGGGTGTACTCTGCCCACATGGCCTCTAGCTGGGGCACAGGGTTCCCTGGTATCTCCTCTGACGACTGTCCGTCTGTCCTGCAGGCATCATGGCAGGCTCCAACCGCTCCGGGGATCTCAGGGATGCCCAGAAGTCCATCCCCACAGGCACCATCCTGGCCATCGTGACCACGTCCTTCATCTGTATCCTTGCGGACAGGGCGAGGGGCCAGGTGGCCGTGCAGACCAAGGAGGGCAGGGCGGCCTGGCCTGCTGAGGCCTTGGTGACATTGTCAGGAACCCCGGGCCATTCTGTGGGGGACAGGCAGACGTTCCTGAGCGCCCTGAGGGCCGACCCCGTGTTGCAGGTTCACACGTGAATGTGCACACACACACAGGCATGCAGACAGATGGCTCACGGGGTGCTGTGGCGGTCACCTTGTGCTCCTGTCTGCCTTGGAACACACACAGGCATGCAGACAGATGGCTCACGGGGTGCTGTGGCGGTCACCTTGTGCTCCTGTCTGCCTTGGAAACAGTAGTGTGTCCATCCTGCCGAGTCCCATCATACTGTCCTGTGAGGACAGTACTATGTGTCTGTATGTGTGCGTAACACGTGGATGGGAGGCTGCATGGGGTCAGAAATGTCAGACATGGATGAGTAGGATGTGAGGGGTGGGATCAGCAGGGAGAGACAAGTGCGCAGGTGTGGACAGGCAGTGTCCCAGGGCGGGTGACAGTGTGGACGGTGGATGGGTGGATGGACAGTATTGGGGACGGTGTCATCATGGACAGGCAGTGTTCCGGGGAGGGTGACACAGTGTGAACGGTGGGTGGGTGGACGGACAGTGTCCCGGGGAGGGTGTCACAGTGTGGATGGTGGATGTGTAGATGGTCAGTGTCCCGGGGAGGGTGTCACAGTGTGGACAGTGGATATGTGGACAGGCAGTGTCCTGGTGGGGGTCACAGTGTGGATGTGTGGATGGGCAGTGTCCCACGACGGGTGTTACAGTGTGGACAGTGGATGTGTAGATGGTCA